AGGAATAAGGATATTCCATTGGATATTTTTTCTTTGAAAGGAAATTTGCATTTCCCTCATTTTTTGGTGTGTGATACAGTGATGCTGCCATATTTTTGTAATTTTTGAAAAATACTTCTAGTAATGTTCACTATGTGTTTAAAATAGTAGTGTCTCCCCAGAGAGTTGCTGATTAAAATATGCCTGGTAAAAAAATAAAATTATTAATTTGAAAAATTTGGCTGCCATAACTATATTAAATGATTCTGGGCACCTTGTCTTCTTAAGGAGAAAGTAATTATTAAAGACAAAAAGGTAAAGAGATAAAGTAAAGAAGAGAAATCATAAAAAACAGAAGAGATTCTAAATAAAGCAACAAGATAAACAGCTCTATCACAATACTTCTATGAGTTGTCATTTGTAGTCATTTTCCTAGCGCTACTAGTTATGAGAGCGATCTCCACTGTTTGTGTGATTTACATTATTAAATTATGAGAAATTCATTCATCTCAATCAGTGCTAGTTTCAATATTTGTGAATTAGTAATCTGCCTGGCTGCACTAATGCGAGAATGCATCCTTTATTGCCTTTTTAATTTGTTTCCACGTTCGTTTACTAAAAACATGCTATTTGGAATGGTAAAGACATCACATGAGAGATAAATTGAATGCAAGAGAAATCTTTGCTCTCAGACACTGTGCCTTTTGGTAAATTCTAGCCTGTTATTTCTGCTCAGAAAGGCATGCTTAATAAAGTGAACAAGCACAAATGTCAGGTAAAATATGCCATGTACTTTTATATGCCCTATCGATTTTTCCTATAATTAAAGTGATGAACACACACTGTTTGGTAATAATGAAGCTAGATCTCCATTTGAGAATTTTTTAAAGGGTTAGCAGAGTCAGTTTCAGCCTGTTGCCTTTTGGTAAAATATCTTTGCTTAAATTTCCCTAGGGACATCTAAGTAAAAGGCAGGATTGTGAAGAGCATAGTCCAAGGATTTGAGAAGTCTACAAAAGTTTCAATTTTGGGAGGCTTTGCTTCCACTGCTTATGAAAATAGGGATTGTGTTAAAACCTTTGGAAATGGACTCCTGTCTTTCCACAACAGCTCATGGCTGGCAACAGGAGTAACCCCTTCAGCGCCGCACTCTGCATTCTCATTCTCAGCCTAAGTTTGAAAGCTATTTTAGATTCCAATTTCTTTATGCACTCCTTCATGCTGAGAATGTCAACCAATTAGTGGTACTTTAGGTAATGCTTTTCATGAGATTGACACTGGTCCATAAGGAATTAGACTGAGACCACCAACCCATTTCATATGGGCCAATGAGTAGCCATTGGACGGTGACAACTTTTGATCACAACCTGCATTTGGGTTCAAACCAATTACTTAACAGCGACAGGTTCCATACCACCCAATTTAGTCTGTGTATCATTTAGGGACCCAGATTAATTAAAACAACAACTAGGCAGAAACCTTTTACGTAACTTATTTCCACTGCTCTGCCCACCCTGATCACTGAAATGGAAAAGGCAAGCCAGTACAAATCCATGCTGAAGCTGCGAGCAGAAACAAGCTCCATTAATTCTTGCTTCTGTTACTGGAACAGTGAAGAGAGATCACTGAAAGACAGGAAAGAGTATCTTTTTAATTTTTTATTAATTAGTTGAACTTTAGGGGAGCAGTGTTTTCCTTATGAACAAAATTTTTGTCAAATAGTTCACTTACTTTGCATATAGTTCTGCTTTAAGATCATTTCTTGTTTATATGATAATACTGCTTTTAAAGAAAATACAGAAACTGCACATGATCTTATCTCAGAGATATCAAATTGTGGTTAACAGTTTACTGAATGTCTTCTAGCTTACTTTTTTATCAAATAAAATTTTTTATTTTATGCTGCTGTGTTATCTGCCTGTGTCCCCTAGTAAATATTTTGTGAGCTATTTTCTATCAATGATACTCTTCAATGAAACTGGTATTTTGCCTTTTTTATTGTTGTTCCTTTGAAATTATCTGCTTGGTTCTCAAAGGAAAGGAATGCCATGGTTCAATATTAATGTTTATTTATGATTATTAGTTTGTTGTTTTCAGGTTCCTTTAGTTGTAATCATTGGGAAGGAGGCTGTTGGTGGGCTTCTGTTAACAGCAGCAATCTATTGATAAAACCTCCTCGCCTGCTGCTTATTACTATATGACATTAACCCAAAGGGATAAAAACAGTTAAGTGGGATTTTGTGCACAGTTCTCCCCTGTGGCTTTAGTGTTGCTCCATATTACTCCCGTAGATTCTGGTACATGGGCTTTATGACAGATTCAAAGTCATGTGGCTTCAGTTTCTGTAAATTTGTCTATTATATCTAATTGAAGATACTAGATTACTGTTTAAAGAATTAATGAAAAATAATCAAAGCCAGGGCAACTCAAAATGAGGTACAAACTGCTAAGAATTGCGTGCTCAATTGAATTCACTGTCGCTCTGAGCTTGTTCATTTCAGCATACTGTTGTTTTGTTTCAGTTATCTGATGGCTGTACTTCTAAGAATACTTAAATTCCTTTCATAATTATAATGCATTATTAGGCTGGATTAATGTTAGACAGTATACTTAAAATATTATTTAATAGAATATGTGTTTATTATAGAGCAACTACTATACACAGTACAAGCCTAAAACAACATTCTTTGTATAGCTTTTAATACCTGACATATTAAATTAGGCACTTGTGTGTCTAATAAGCAGAGGTTATCCTTTATTGGATTCTTGAAATATTGATAATTTGGTAACAAAGTATTTTGTGATATACACCCTCCATAAGACTCAGCCTGATTTTAGTAAGTTAATCAACCTATCAGAAATTTGTAATGCTACATTTCTTATAAAATGTTTAGATATCAAATTATATGTAATTAGTAAAGATCTATATTTTAATTATTTGAGTCACTTATCTGTTGATTTTTCAAAGACAAACATCATAAAACAGGCCTTGTCACGGCAGATCTATTCACTCTGAACATTCTGGTAAGTTACTACCAATGGCAATATACAAATAGATTGGTAACTGCTAATGATTAGAATGGATAAAGAAAACTGATTGATTATGGTATAGTTCTTTCATTATACCTGCATAGATAGTTACTTTGGCCTCACATTAATCATGTTATACCAATAACTTTACAAAACTCAGAAACAATTAAAAGAAAAGAAATCTGATTAGACTAAGATGGAAGTGAACTTGGATATTAGAATCACTTTTTTTTTTTGAAAGGTGTTAGTTTAAGAGGTTTTACCAATAGGCCCAAGATAATTTCTAAAGATGTTTCTGTAGTGGAATGTGAGTTTCTAGTTTACCTACTTTTGCTAATAGGTACTTTATTTTTCTTGTTACCTCTGTCCCTGGTTGGAGAGGTTTGTGTTTTCACGAACTGATTTCAGCTCCCCTTAAAACAAAAACCAAACTTTCATGAAAGCACCATGTCCACCCTGCTCCCATCTGTCTTCAGTGGCAGGACACAGTTGCTCCCAGCTCATGTAGTGTCTGTTCTATAGGTCTCTGTACAGTTGCCTTTGCTCAGAAATGGACCTTTGTAAGGCAGTGCTTCCCCCACTGTTTCCCTGCTCTGCTCCTTCTGATCTCCTTGAGGGACACACAGACATGGCTATCAAGTCGGCACAATGATTGGCGCACAATAAATGCTCACTGAATTGATAAACTCATGCATGGTATTTGAAGGTCTTAAGATCAGGGCCTAAAACAATAGAGTTAAAAAAATATCAAAAAAGAAGATAAGATAAAGATATTTTAAAAAACAAATAGAGAATCCAATGACTAGGAAACACCCTCAAATGAGAAGAGTCTGAATGTGTAAGATTCAAGGTTATTAATTTGTTTTTGGCAGGAAAAAGGGTATCTTATACTTCAATAGTGACACACTTATCCAAAGTTCCTCAGGAGAAGGCACTATAAAAATAAAAGCAGGTGGCCTCAGCAAAGTCACATCACGTTGGGCTAATAGTTAATATTGTATCTCAGTTCTTTCATATATAAGTTGAAAACAAATATGGTACCACTTTGGAAGGACATTGTAAGATTTAAGGAAATAATTTCATGTGCAATATTTAGAGCAGTATCGGTACATAGCATTCATACCATTAATGTTGGTCTGTATTACAGTCCTATCATCATCATCTTTTGCTTAGTCCACAAGGAAGTGGTGGTATTACAGAAAACTGCACTGTTCCTGCCTTGATGGTCATTATCTGGCTTTTGCAGATTGCATTAGTCAATGGCAGAGGAAGTGAAATTGCTGAATTAACACTGTCAAGTGGGTGAATAACAACTTAATGAAGGATTAGTAGAAGGGATAGGTAAAAGGTTACAAAGTGAGGACAATGGTTCAAAATAGAAATGATTTAAGATGATCTATTACTTACGTGGAGGGAACTAGGCTATGATAATGATGGCACAGCAGGAAACATGATACAGGCAAAATAAAATAAAGTGAAGGGAATTAGAGAACCTTAGGAAGTTCACGAAGTAAAGAGATATGGCAGTGAAGGAAAGAGTGAGATGAAATGAGATAGGGAGGCTGCAGAGACACCAGGCCATGAGGACAAGAAGCAGGGGACAGATCCTATTTCTTTTGGAAATTGGGCTGGGAGTTTTAGTTTCTTTGACTATCATTTAAAAAAATAAATCCATTTCTTTGTTTAACCCTCTATGCCATGTAATTACTAACCTACTCATGTTTCTGTTTCTCTTGTCCTCTTGTCTTTCTTCCTACTTAGCACTCTGCCTCTCAGCAGTGACACTGTCTGTGTCCCTTTTGTGCTTAGCAGTGCCTTACCCTGCGAGCTTCACGTTGTTTTTCTCTCCCTCATCCATTTGCTCAAACACTGTCACTCATCCAGAGAGAAAACAGATATACATATATTTTTTTTCTGAGTACTGTTACACCAAAGAGAATGAGAAGTGTATACTTTAACTATGACATTTTCCTTGTGCTGTTGTCTGACAGAAATTTAGAAAAACAACGGAACCCAAAAGTGATTCTCCTGGAGTTCCGCATTTTAAATGGTAAGTTGAAGGACAGTGCTATGTACATATTTAGCGTGGGTTTCTTGTTCTTCGGGTCCCAGTTTTAACCTGTGGCCAAGAGGATCAAGTGAATAATGGTCAAGGCTGTGTAAAAGGATTGTCAACCAAAGAAACTGGGAAGCACAATTCCTTTGAATCTGTATCAAACTGAGAAAAAGATTGTTTAGCGCTATAGTCAGGTGTACTGTAGGATGAAGAGGGGAAGCAGCCTTTTATCCCTCACTCAGGGGCTCCACTGGGTTTTCATCTTGTTGGATTTCCTCACACAACTGCAAAGGAAGCTTTGTTCATGTTTCTTGATTGCTGGGGGTTTGGGATGAGGGCACAAGCCGGATGTTTGGAGTCAGACAGCCTTCAAATTCTGTGTTCCCCTCTTCTTAACTCTATGATCTTGTTAAGAGGACAGATGGAAGAACGGACAGAAGAGTAGACTGAGATTAAGGGTAAAACAAGAAACGCTAGAAGGGAGGTTCAGGTCAGAGTTTGATGTGTTTTGTTTTGCGTGGTTTGGCTTTGATCGTCTATTGGGATTTCCAGGACTATATAATTGGAAATATGGATCTAGATGTCATGGGTACTGCAGAGGCTTTGGAAAAAAGCCTCTCATTCTCCCATCATTTCTGCATAACTGCTGGTCATATTTTCATATATTTCTATAGAATATTTATTCAATATTTCCCATTAAATACTATGCCAAAATACATCTGTCTGTGTTTATAAAGGTGTACGTATGTCATTTAATAGCTGCATGTAATTTCCTGTGGTCAATATTAATTCTATGAGGATTTTGCAGCTCTAGGTATGATCCAGAAGTATACAGGAAAAGACAAATGTTAAATCAAGACCTTAGAGATTTGCACGTAGATACTGGCAAAAGTGAGAGTGGACTGTGAAGCAGAGTGAGCGTGGAGCAAGATGGGAGGGCAAACATCCTACATATTGTTAGTGCTCTATGTTGGAGCATTAACAATTCAGAAAATGCTAAAGTGGGGAGTGGAGACTGGTACCAAGGGAAAAACCCTCTAATTTGGAAATGAGGATGTTATCAATTGTCTTGAATAAACAATAAAGTTGGCAATAGAAATAAACAAACTCCTGAAATGTTGGCAACATTAGAATGGAGCTGGGGTATTCGGAAGAGACTAGATATAACCGAGAGAGTGGATATAGATGAGACGAAATATTGGGGAAATATTGGGCAATTCGAGTTGCAGTGAGATACAGAAGAGACAAAGTTTCTCCCTAAAAGCAACCTTGGTTCTTCAAGGAAAAAAGGTAAGAAGGAGAAATCTGTTGAAATGAATACTTCTGAAGTACAGGAGAAGAAAGTGAGGGAACTCTGTGGATTCTCTCTTGTCAATGAAACAGAAAGTAGAAAATAGAGGCTAGCAGACCTTAGGGGCATGAAAAACCTGCAGAAGAGCAACTCTGAAAAATGCTTTAGTTAATGAAAATAGAAGCCAATGGTCACTTAACCAACTAGAATCCTGATAAAATATTGTAATTTTGTAATCTATTTAATCCGTGCATTCAAATTTGGCTAGTGGTCTAGTCAAGTATGTGTACTGGCTCATTTCTGGACTGAGGCTTACGAAAGATGCACAAAAGAAGAAAGAGAAGATTGCAAGCAATTAGAGGCAGGTGAAGAAAGAGAAAAGGAGACATTAGAAGAGTCACAGGATAAGTGTTGAGTTCTAGTCTGCGCTTGCTTTAAAAACAAACATTAGGTTGTTCTCAAAAGTTGCAAAATAGGGGGCTGGGGATTTAGCTCAGTGGCATAAGTGTCTACCTTGCAAATGCGTGGTTGTGAGTTTGATCCCTGGAAAAAAAGTTGCAAAATAGATAAATGATGAATGTTATTTCCATTATAAAAGGATTATTTATGTTACAAAAAAAAAGAAGCTCAAGGTTGGTTTCCTTGCATTGCTCATTGTTTATTTAAAATACAATTTGCCTGACAAAAATTGAATTTGCAAGCATTTTTCAGCGACACACCTATCATGCATGGTGAGGTTTACTTTCACTGTTTTGCTTATGCACAAATGAAAGCAAGACTGGGTAGTGCCCAGATTTAGGACTTAGTAGATCATCAGTTTATTTGCCGGCGCTGAGGATGTGGTTTTCGGTGAGCCTTTTAAACTTCGTTCCATTCCCCTCATTCATAAAACCAAGAGAATAATCTCTGCCTATTTCAGAGATGAGGATTATTTTACCTAGTGATGATTAATGACCTGATATCAGTAAAGCAGTCTCAGCTTCTTGCAGATAAAAAGTACGTGTCCTGAGATTCCTGTATTAGTCCATTGTTTTTCTCCATGGGAACCTTAGCTGATTTGCTACCATAAAAGCTTGGGATATTTCCAGGGGACATAGAATTTAAAATGTGTTTGATACTTTTCTTTTATGGATATTGCTATGTAAAATCATGCAATTATATAAATTCTTTTCTATCGTGAAATTTTTTTAAAGCAGTAAAGGGTAGATGAAAGAAATGAGCTGTAATTCCAGAAAAGAACCAGGACATGTAAGAGTGAATGAATATTTTCCTTTTCTTTCTTCTTAAAGATTGTATCTGATAGTTACCATTAGCAGCAGTCACTACGGGTCAGTGTAAGCATTATATGGTGATCACTCTTTCCCAATATAATTCTAGTCTTCTGTTTGTGAGACTCTCTCCAGTGAACTATTTTTGCTTTCGTATAGCAATGTGCATTTTCATAGTCAAATTCATTTATTTCCTTTGCAACCACACACACACACACACACACACACACACACACACACACACACACAGGACAGTTTTTAGTATAAATATAAGCCATACAAACCTTTGAGATTTTAGCATTTATTTTAAAATGTATGCCTTAGTGTATTAATGGTATTGTAATCCCAAATACTGTTACTGCACAATTTACTGAAGATTACTTTGCTTTACAACCTGCTACTCTGCCCTTTTTGGCTTTAGGTTAATGGGCAAATAATATATGGTTTATACTCCTTTGCAAAAGGCTTTTTTCAAACACACAGTGAAATGAAACACACACACACACTCACCCACACAATTCGAGTAAATAATAACTGGCTGCATGTTCCAAAGCAGGCTAGAACAACTCACAAGACTTTTAGAGTAGAAAAAGAAGCTCCTTTTGCCCCTTTTAATTCTTTCTGAATTAAAAAAAATCTATAAAACAAAAAATATCATTTCAGTCCTTACTTATTTTACAGGACGGTTATAAGCGTGCATTTTTCTATAAATTGTTTTGGATTTTATGGTCAAAGGAACATGTAGATATGATATATGCTCCAATAATTTTGGTGCAGACATTTATTTACTAGTATTCATATTAAATACAACACGTAAGCAACAAAATGATTCATAGAGAGATGGTGGCCTGAGGGCTATCAGGAATGAAGTGGTCCGGCGTAACTGTTCAGAGATCAGAGGAAAATGCAAAGAACCAGGGAGGATTACAGAGGCTCCAGGAAGCTTTATGAGACCCATAGGGAAAAATAAGGGCAGAGAGAGAACTGGGGGTGGGTGGGAAGAATGAGGGTAGCAACGGGGAGCATTATTCCATCACTAAGAGGACAGACTCACACTCAGAATGTATGTAAAAACTGTACAGTCACGTAGACTAGGATAGTAAGACTAAAAAATGATTTATTCTCTCAAATGATTTATTCATCTTACCACATATTTTTATAACAATTCATTAAAAAATGCAGTTCAGCTAGACATTACAAAGATTTGGAATATTGAGAAGAGTTTATTACATTAAAAACATTCATCTATGTTCTATGTTTTTGTGTAACATTTTTCTAAGCAAATACAAATAATATACACTATTTTATCTGGAAAAAATATCAGTCCATTGCATAAATACTGGCACATGTAAATGGGATATTATGTTGGTTATATAGAAAATAAATAATGGAAAAGTATTTAAAAATCAGAACCTCTAGCAACAACTTCAGCTTATGTTGTAAATGTACTGAACATCCTTTTGAAAAGGTAAAATGAACTTAAATGTAAATAGCCCAAATTATAAAGAGATACTATAAGACTTAGCAACCCCAAGCAAATGGATACAATATTAATAAAAATGATTATATATTTCTGTTGCTAGGCAGAAGATGTTGATTACAAATACAATCACTTGAGAGATATAAGCAATTACATACTAAGCTTTGGGTTTCAGTCATCCTGGGAAATAGTACCATTATCTTGGCAGTTAAAGTCTACAATTCTACGTGTATTTGTTCATTTGTAGCATCCTTTCCCTAAGGTCAAAGGATCTTTTCCTGTGAGTGTTTTGCCCTTTCTGTAACATACTATCCACTGTGCTAGGCATATAACATGCGGAAGGGATTTTTAAAAAATTTGATGCCTCTCTTGCCATTTGAGCAGTCCTGAACATGCGTACTAATGTACGCTGGTTGAGGATAAATTGGCATTGATACATGCAAGAATGTCTCTCTGTTTTGTATTAAACAACATTCGTTGAAGTATTCTGGCATACTGAGAGGTAAAATACAAACATTTGTATAATTTACAGAATGACCTCTTCCAGAGTGGAAATAAAAACTGTTTCCAAATCTATTCCTTTCTCAGTTATCTCTTCCACCTTGTAAACTCCAAACTGTCAGATAACAAAGGGGAAATTATAAGAAAGTAGTATAGTTTGCATTGGTAAATCAAAGATCCTGAGTTTATGTTTTATAACATACTTTCTTTTTAGCCTATAAAAACAGATTACTAGAGGAAAATGTGGCAGTAGGTGCATATTTTTTAAATGAAAGAAATTGTTCCCCAGAACTTTTCAATAAGAGAAAGCATGTGACCTCCTTTCTGTGAGACCCACAGTACAGTAAACAATTGAATCCATATTCAGCCAGATGCTTCCAGTGTGTAAATTACTCCCTGGGTAAATGTTAGGCACTTTTGGAGCCGCATTAACTCTTTCAGGCTTCGAGTATGC